GGCTTTCACTGCACTTAGGTTAAAATCTACTTTATATACCCTGGTTTACAAAGCCTTATAAGACCTGTCCCTTCCCACCTCCCTAACCTTATCTCCAACCATTTCTTCCTCTCCCACTTCCCTCTAGCCTTCTTTCTGGCTGCCACTGAGCAAGACAAGCTTGTCTCCACCTTTGGGATTTTACCCTAACCTTTCTTTCTGCTTGGAATGCTCTTTCCCCTGCTCTCCACATGGCTGGCACCTCCTGGTAGTTCAGATTGCAGCTTAAAGTCTCAGAAAGGACTTACCCAACCAACTTAGTCACTGTAACACATTATTACTCCAGTTCTCTGCATAGGACTTATAACCGTTTAATATTTTTCCGTGATGTTTTATTATTTACATATCTTCCCCTTTTAGACTTTCATGTCTATCTTGCACTATTCTATCCCAGTGCCTAGAATGGTGCTTGTTCATTGTGAGCTTCTGCTATTTAAGGAATAAACAAATAAGTAACAAGGATATTGCTACTATAACTTTTCTGGGCCCCTTCCCACTACCTACAATCAAAGAGTACTCTTTCAATCATATCATAATCAACTAGATTACTTACTAAAATGCAGAATTTTTTTTTTTTAGAGACAGGGTCTATGTTGCCTAGGTGGCTTGCAGGGGAAAGGCCATACTGCCCAACAGTGAGTTTTCTGCACTAATTAAAATAATTAGGCCGGTGCGGTGGCTCACAACTGTAATCCTAGCACTCTGGGGGGCCAAGGTGGGAGGACTGCTTGAGCTCAGGAGTTGGAGACCAGCCTGAGCAAGAGCGAGACCCCATCTCTACTAAAAATAGAAAGAAATGATCTGGACAACTAAAAATATATATATATAGAAAAAATTAGTCGGGTATGGTGGCGCATGCCTGTAGTCCCAGCTGCTCTGGAGGCTGAGGCAGGAGGATCGCTTGAGCCCAGGAGTTTGAGGTTGCTGTGAGCTAGGCTGACGCCACGGCACTCTAGCCCGGGCAACAGAGCGAGACGCTGTCTCAAAAAAGATAATAATAATAATAAGTATACCCCAAGAAGAGGGAGGGGGTCTGTAGGTTGGCGGTTATATTCTCAACAAGACAACCAAACAGCAAGTTCTGGGGAGCAGTTCATAAGCCTAATTTGCGACGTCAGTTCTAACAAACTTCTCTTTCTTCATCTGAACCTAGTTTCTGGTTCCTCAGTCCTTAGAGTGGGTGGAATAGTTAAAGCCCACGTGGGGCGAATGGATTCCTGTTTCTGATCAGATTTCTCCCGGCTCCTAGAAATGCTGTCTTCGTAGCGGTCTGGCTGGGGGTCGTTCTGTGACTTGACCGACCTCGACAGAGGGAAAAGGGGGAACCGGCAGCGAGGAGGTGCTGGGGGGCCGGGCCGTTGCCGGCGCTCCACCTGAGCAGTGCGGACAGCGTGTTAGGCACGGAACCCGCCCCCTCGCGGGCAGCCTGGGCTTCCTCCTCCAGCTCCCCAGGCTCGGACGGAGGGACGCCCGGGACCGGGCGGCGGCTATGCCCTCGCGGGGCAGCGGTGACGGGCCCCAGCTGCACGCTCGCCTCCACCGCCCCCGACCGCCCGGCCGGCGCGGCTCCGCGTTCGCACGGACGACTCACCGGCTCCGAGCGGCAGCGGCAGCAGCAGCAGGAGCAGGACCGCGGGCGGCGGCGACCGCGGGCTCGGGGGGCGCTGCATGGCGTGGCGTGGGCGCCCCTGGCTCCTCGGCTGGAGCTCTGCGAGCGCGGCTCCCTCGGCCGGCGCCGCCCCCGCCCTCCCCGCGCGACGCCCGCGCTCTCGCACCCGGGGCCTGGGCGCCGCCCTCCCACCCCGGAGCGCGCGGCCGCCCCGCCCGCCTCGGCCCCGCACCGAGAGGGCGGCGGGCGCGGGGCAGGGCACGCGGCTTCCGCGTGGAAAAGGGTGCGCTTCCCGAGTCTGCCCGCCTGCTGTCTGCTGCCGGCTGCGCTTAGCAAGACATTGTGGAAGCTGCCGCTGGAGACTCGCCATCCGGGGGCCCCGGATAGTTCTCAAAACAAAACAAAAAACCCACCTTCCCTCACTTTCCGGAACCCCCCTTCCCAAAACACCAAAGAACAACAGCAATCACCACGAAATTGTGCAACAAAACTGGAACAAATCAGCACAAAGGCACTTGCATTTCTAGCACGTTTTTCTCTTAGAAGTTGCGCGTGTGTGATCTCATTTTCCCCTCCTAAGTGTCTTCAAGAGTAAGAGCAGGTGGTTGTTATTAACCTGAAGACTCTGCAAATACGGGTCGCAGACAAAGGAAACGACTTTGCTAGGAGACCAGACTTGGGGCCACATCCCAGGAGCTTTACCAGTTTACCAGACTAGACTCGAAATTCAGCCCCTTTGGTGTCTTGAGGGAGGATGGAAAGATTAAATTTCCCTCAGATTAAACAGCAGAGATTTCCCTGGACCAGAGATCACTGAGGAAGGCGACTGGAGACACCATTTAGGAGCCCCATCATTTTCAGATGATGAAGCATCTCAGAGAGCAAGCTACTTACTCTATGGGATGAAACACAGGTAGATACTACAGCTGTGCCCAGAACCCAGGATGTCTGCCCATAAGGATATGGGAGTTTATTAGGGCTAGGTCTGGGCCTGATTCCCACCAGATCCCAGGGTAAAGACAGAGGCAGAATGACTTGGAAGAAAGAAAATTGAGCAGTACATAGAAAGAAAGAGAAGAGGGTGATGAAAGTGGAGGGTTTCATCCCCTAACCCTCCAACAGGCCCCCTCCCTACTGCCACAGCCAGCCTGGCAGAGGGCCAGGAGGGAGGGTATTGAGAAGCTCAGTATAAACCTCTGAGATTTATTGGCTGCTGCTTCTGAATATGGCCATCCTGCTGTGGCCTCTGGGGGGCATTTGCCGATGTAATCAGCCCAGAAAGAGAGTCATTCCAGCTGGGGTGTAAATCACCCTTCACAAAGCTAGGAGAGAGACATGTGGCCCTAGATAAGGAAGGAGAATGATGTGGCCTCTGTGCCCTTCCCTCCCTTCTCCTGCCCAGGGGGGGCCGGTTCCTGAGCTATAATGCACTTTAAATGGAGTTCATGCTTTGTTCTAATCTGTATCTGCCCTGCCAGGTTTACAGCAGAGCTGTGAAAGTGAACATCTGGCTACTCAGCTTTTGTGCAGGGCCTGTTTTCCCCCAACTCCACCCTACCTCTGTGGACCTCTACCAAGGCCTCCTGTCCATTAAGGCTAGGAAACCTGTAGCTGGGAAACTGACAGCCCCACTCTGGCTATAGTTTCAAAAAGGAATTTATAAAGCAAAATGTAACCATTTTAGGTGGAAAAGGCTGAGACCCACAGACCAATAAAGATGTGAGGTGCAACTGAGCAAGGTGACATGTGCCTGTAGTCCGAGCTACTTGGGAGGCTGAGGCAGGAGGATCCCTTGAGCCCAGGAGTTCACGGCCAAAGTGAGCAATGATGGCACCTGTGAACGGCCACTGCACTCCACCCTGGGCCACACAGAGAGATCCTAGCTCGAAAGAAAGAAGGAAAGGAAGGAAGGAAGGAAGAAAAAGAGACGGGATGGTCAAAAGGTATCATCTCTGCCCTCTCCCTCTTCCAGCAACCAAGCTAAATCAAGTTTGGAGTAAAAGGGGTGTTGGGAAAGGGCATTTGCTCAGAGTGCTTATTCAAAGTGTCTACTCAGGGCTATCCATGGAATGGACCAAGGATGCAAGAACAGGCTCAGGCTGCTGGGCTGGGAGCAATCCCCAATTCCACCTGTAAGAGGCCAGCCTTTTTGTGAGAGAAAAACGAAGTGCCTGGAGCATATTTCTGTCTGAGCACTGGGCTGGAAAGCCTGACATCACTGGGCCTTTAATGAGGATTGGTAACCAAGGCTAGGGGAGAGTTGAAGCCTCTGCAAATAAATATGACTCCAAGACTAATATTGACAGCCCTCTAGCACACCGTCTCCCCACCAACCGTGTTCTCTGAGACTGCCAACACCTGCTAGATAAGCAGCACTGCCGTTGGGAATCTTGCGGATAAAGACAAATGAGCCAGTCCTTTCTACAAAGATGATGTTACTCAGCCATCATTCAATTCAATAATGTCTTTTGAGACTGATTATAGGCCCAGCTTTGTGCTAGGTGCAAAATGACTAAGACACAAACTCTGCCTTGTGGAGGGCCTTACAATCCATTAATTGGGGCACAAAGGTCCAAAGTCTCTGTATCTTATTCCGCTTTCATTTGTAATCTTGATTTCTCGTCTTATGGTCAGGCTATATGGAGTCTGCCTTCTCTCAAGTCCTCTCCCCCTGTTGAGCTTTAACTCCTGCTGCTCTCCTAATCCAGGATATTAGCAGTATAATGAATAGCTAAGACCACAAGCTTTGCAGACTGCTTGGGTTCAAATGCCATTTCCAACATTTGTTGGGTGACCTTGGGCAAGTCGCTTAATTTTTCTATGCTTCCATTTCTTCATCTGTAAAATTAAGGATAATAGTATCTACTTCATATAACAGTTGTGAGGATAAAGCAGGTATATATGGGGTAAAGGGTTTAACGTTATGCCTGGCACATAGCAAGCACTGAATAATATTACCCCTGGTGGCATACAGGTGTTATTCTGTGAACTTGGCCAGCCCCCACCACCAACCTGCTGATTTGGGACTGGAGGCTACAGTATTTCTTCCTTTTGCTGAATATACTAGTAAGCCAGAGTGCTTGTAGGGATGGGAACAAAGAGAACCATTTTCTGCCCTATCAGTTTCTTTTCTTTTCTTTTTTTTAGAAACAGAGTCTTGCTCTGTTGCCCATGCTGGAGTACAGCAAGCCCAAGCAACCCTCAAGGCCCCAAATTCTCAAGAACCTGCAATTGAGGCTCTTACAGATTTAATACCCAATACAGCGCCAACCCTAGAAAGGCACACTGTTCTCTGATGAAGATTTGGTAATAGCAAAATCCATAAAGAGAGTGCGGAGCCACACTGTCTTGGTTCAAATCGCAATTCCACCATTTATTAGCTATGTGATCTTAAACAAGTTACTTAATCCCTCCGTTCTTTATTTATCTGCATAAAGAAATGCACATGAGTGCTTGTCTCATAGGGCTGTTGCAAAAATTAAATTAGTTTATACACATAAAATGAGTTTAGGAAAAGTCTTGTATGCATTAAGCACCTGAAAAGTGTTAGCTACTATTATTATTCCTGAAAATTCCATGAATCAATTCACATGGTCCCTGTACAGTGGAGGATATTACAAGAAATCATTAGGGAAAATGTTGCCTTTTGGGCAAATACAATTTTTCACAAAGCAGATAACTAAGTAAGCCTAGTTTGTTTTGCAACTCAGAATTTCCACTTAATAAGATGACTGATGTGGACACAGGTACATCAGTCTCTTCTCAGGTTGGGGCTTGGTTCTACCTCTTGGGGGAAAGTAATCAGGAAATGATCCATTAGGGTAGGCAGTGAGTCAGGACCCCTCCTCACACTTGGAAGAGGAGATGCTTCAAGCAGTTTCCTCCTCAGGCTACTAGGAATTCATGAGTGGAGGGGGGACAAGGAGGATGGGGGTACATGTGTGGGTGGGACGGGGGAACAGCATCTTTCCCTCAGTCATCTCCACCTAGCGTAGCAGCAGCTTTTCTCTCCGTATTCCCCCAAGCCCTTCTGGGCTCTGAGCTCAAGGACTTAGGGAGAAGGCCAGGGAGGTAGCTTCCCTCTTGACAGGCAGGCAGGAGCCAGGAACAGAGGCTGCAGCCTTCAGCTGGCTGGCTTGGAGAGTACAGCAGTGCCCTCTGCCGTGAGGCACGCACGCGGCACTCCAGGGCAAGAGCACGTGCGAACCTTGCAGGAAAAAAAATCAGTCCAGCCACTCAGGCACATGCGTGGGCCGCCCTATAGCGACAACTCTCCTCTCCCACTCATTTTAAAAAAGCCTCCCTGCTCCAGAATCTGGGAAGATGTTATTTTTCCTCTATTCTGTCTCAGCCTAGGCTTCAGAGGATTTCGTCCTTTTCTAGTCCTGGTCTATCAGTAAGTACTACTCGGTTAATGCCAGAGAATGACAATATTCAGTCAATTCCACTGCCACCCAAGGCCAAGTAGGGCTGTACTTCACTACAGAAAAAAGCCTACTCCTCTTAAAGAGCTCTAAGAAAGAAAAACTGGGATATTGCTAAAGAATGCAGTTTAAAAGGTCTTCCTGGGCAGGCCGTGGCTCACACCTGTAATCCTAGCACTCCGGGAAGTCAAGGTGGGAGGATTGCTTGAGGTCAGGAGTTGGAGACCAGCCTGAGCAAGAGCGAGACCCCCGTCTCTACTGAAAATAGAAAAAAAAAAATTACCTAGAAAAAATTAGCCGGGCATGGTGGCACATGTCTGTAGTCCCAGCTACACGGGAGGCTGAGGCAGGATTGCTTGAGCCCAGGAGTTAGTGGTTGCTGTGAGCTAGGCTGACACTCTGACTCAAAAAATAATAAATAAAGGCCAGGCGCGGTGGCTCACGCCTATAATCCTAGCACTTTGGGAGGCCGAGGCGGGCGGATCGTTTGAGCTCAGGAGTTCGAGACCAGCCTGAGCAAGAGCGAGACCCCGTCTCTACTAAAAATAGAAAGAAATTAATCAGACAACTAAAAATATATAGTAAAAATTAGCTGGGCATGGTGGTGAGTGCCTATAGTCCCAGCTACTCAGGAAGCTGAGGCAGGAGGATTGCTTGAGCCCAGGAGTTTGAGGTTGCAGTGAGCTATGATGATGCCACTGCACTCTAGCCCCGGCAACAGAGTGAGACCCTGTCTCAAAAAAAAAAAAGAAAAAGAAAAAAAAGAAATAATTTAAATATTCACTAATAGGGTTTGAGGAAATAAATTATACATGTCAGTAGAACAGAATATCATATAGCCAGTCATATAGCCAGTAAAATGATAATGTAGATATCTAGATATCTTATTATTGGTATAGAAAGATATTTATACTGTCTTACTAAGCTAATCACAACACTACCTGTTGATCATGAACTCATTTTTTTTTTGAGACAGAGCATCATTCTGTCGCCTGGGCTAGAGTGCAGTGGCGTCATCATAGCTCGCTGCAACCTCAAACTCCTGGGCTCAAGCGATCCTCCCGTCTCAGCATCCAGAGTAGCTGGGACTACAGGCACATGCCACCATGTCCAGCTAATTTTTCTTAGTTTTTGTAGAGATGGGGTCTTACTATGTGGCTCAGGCTGGACTCGAACTCCTGGGCTCAAGCAACCCTTCTGCCTTGGCCTCCCAAAGTGCTGGAATTACAGGCATGAGCCACCACACCCAGCCAAGAGAGTCTTTTAATACAGCCTTAATTGAATAAGGAGCCTATGTGAGTGAACACAGTGAAAGAAATACAAATGGAAGTGGGATTTTAGGAACAGAACAGACCAGATGGCAGCTTATGTAACCAGTTACCATCTCCAGAAATTTGCTTACTGTTTCTGGGTTGACATACTTCAGATCTTGGTGTCTCCCTGACACGGTTGGCAGTACACATACCTAGAAATACAAAAAAGCTGAAATAACAGCAAGTATTCCACACCCAAGTTTGAGAACAAGATTCATACATTGTCCTTCTTTCCAAATGACTCTTAAAGCACCAGAGGCCTTCAAAAATCGATGGTCTCTATAATGTGCTTATGCAGCAATTCCATTTCTAAGAATTGATCCTAAGAAACTAATCAAGGACATGCATAAAGTTTTACATTTCCCTATAAGATGTCCATCTCAGTATCATTCACAAGGAAAAATTGTAAAACCATCCTATAAGAAGGGATTTATCTATAAATTATGAGCAGCTCCAAAATGAAATAATGTACAGCTATTAAAAACAATGAGATGATGAAGTATAACTGCTTCTTGACATTAAAAGATGCTCCTGGCCGGGCACGGTGGCTCACGCCTGTAATCCTAGCACTCTGGGAGGCCGAGGCGGGTGGATTATTTGAGCTCAGGAGTTCGAGACCAACCTGAGCAAGAGCGAGACCCCGTCTCTATCAAAAAAATAGAAAGAAATTAATTGGACA